TGCTTCTTGCTTGAACTACTGCTGTAGCAGCAGCGGTCACGCTTACCAGTCAACCAAGCCAACCAATCAATCAATATAGTAAGAAGACGTCAGGCTTCAGCGGGAAGAGCCGATGAAATACAACGCGAGCACTCTCTCTCTACCGACAGGGAGGGTGATTGAGTTGGACGACACAGCAGTATCCTGCTGCTAGAGTAAGGATAAGACTCGTGTGCGTGATTGATGTCAAGGGCGTGTCTGTGTGTGCTGGTCCTGCCTCTCCCCTTCACCCTCTCTGCGGGCGCGAGCTCGCCGCCAGCACAGCGCCACACATTGGCACATGCATATGCATGTCAACCATGCTGGACCGGTTTCGCTTTCATAGCGTGACCCGTGCGTCTCGCATATAGACTGCAGCAAGCAGTAGTCCACGGGGTATTGTACGCGTGTGTGCATGTTTCCAAACGGAACAATTGTGCTGGGGTGTTGCCCGGCCATTGTTGATTCAGAGCAGAGCGGAAGAGTTGATGGCTGGTGTTGTTCGCAGGGGCGGAAACTGATTCCTGCCCCGTTGCCATGGTTGTTGCTGGGCGGGAAGATTCGCCGGTTGGTATCCCATGGTTGGAGGGGAAAAGGAGTTGGGAAGATTCCTGCGAGGGAAATGATTGATGAAAGGGTCTCTTTTCCCGTCAGGTCAGGGTACATTTCCGAGAACAGGGTACAGCAGTTGTTGAGAAAAGAAGTCACGGCAGGGTATACCCTGCGCCTTTTCGGACGCACCGGGGTGAAATTGGGCGTTGACCAATGATATGACTGCATTTACTGCTGTTAATGACTGTGTACCCAGGTGTGTCGCTTTTCGACCAGGGTATATATACCCTGTTGTGTCGTTTTCCCCCCAAAAAACTTTGGGTACACGACAGTAGTCGTCGCCACCTTCAAGAAACCCATGCTTTTCACAAGCATGGTGCCCCTCAGAATGAAAAACTCTTTGAGGGCACGTCCCCGCTCTACGGGCATTTTTCTTCAACAAAAACCACGAGGGTCCTCACAGTCAGGGACGATTTCTGAGCCATACGCTACATGCTACATGTTGCATGTAACCACACTCCCTGGAGCGATTTTCAAGCTAGAGTACTCCACAGCAGACACGGCCAGTGGCTGTGCCGAAAAAGCAGTGGCGTTGGATACTACTGAAAATTATCAGTTGATTCTTGCATCCTCTTCGTCGTGCAGAAGTCGAGCTTTGGAAAATCAAAATCGGTCCGGGGCGGGTGGAATACTCCGAAGGTATACCTGTGCGGCGCCGGCGCAAGTGTCTGCATCCCAGCTGCAGCCATTCCGTCGCAGCCATTTAAGCACGTCGAGGTGGCCACCCAGGGCAGCCCCTCGACAGGCCCAGCCATTCCACGGGGCCCCGTTTTCTGTGGCCCATTGAAGAACCTGTCAAAAGAAGAAAAAAAAAGACGGGTATGATGGAATGAATACCAACGGCTCAGCAGGCGGCGTTTGAGGGCTTGTTTGTAGCAAAGCAGACTGCACAACGGGAACCACACTTGAAACAAAACAAAAAACATGCGTACTGTAGGAATACGCACGGTTCAGCAGGCGGTGATTTGAGAGCAGAAGGAGGACCCACACCTATAACTCGTTATCCGGAGATTCAAGAGACCGCAAAAGTTAGGTAACGTGGACGCCAATTTTTCGTCGAGAAGCTTCCTGCGGGAATGAGTGGACGGTCACCTCCAAGTCAACAAAAACGAAAGCCAGCAAATCCACACTCTTTTCGAGAGCACCGAAAGGAGCACAAAGTTGACAGCAGGGTGCCTGCGTACTCTAGCCGTCCCCCGCCCCCAAGCGGCTGCCAAGTCTTACAAGACACGTGGCATGTGCGGGTGGCATGCAAGATACTAATGATTTTGTCGTCCAGCAGAGTCGCCGATATTTCCTTGCAACACGGAACACAATAGCTGACCGCTGTTTGGTATGTACCCATTTCTAGAGAACCTGACAGTGATACTCATTTCTATAGACCTTAAGGTCTATATCGGTGCAAGCACCAGAAATGAGTACTTCACTTTCACTGGCCAACGGCAGCATTTTTTGACATCCAACGGGTACATGTATCAACTCGGCCGTCAACCACCACGCCAAGCCCGACACTGTTGTCCACGCCAGCATCATTGTTGCCCTGTCAAGAAAAAAACGGCACCCACAGCAGTACTAAAGTCAAGCGGCGTCACCTCAAGGTGGCCTCCCAAGGCGGCAGAGGAGCAAACGCTGTGGTCCCAGGGGCACTTGTTCTCGAGGCGAAGCCACTTGAGGAGAGCCAGGTGACCCCCCCTCGCTGCAGTTGTGGGCAGGAAAGAATCAAAAGAGCAACAGCAAAAGCAGCATTGAGTAGGTCTCCTTCGTAGTTGTCCCATCGTATCATACCTACCATACTTGCATTATCATCGTAGCTGTTTCACTGTGGATCGTAGACATGTCATCGTAGATGTTTCCATCGTAGACCTGTCATTGTACGTGTTGCATCGTAGTCATGTCATCGTAGATCTTTCCATCATAGACCTGTCATTGTACGTGTTGCATCGTAGACATGTCATCGTAGATCTTTCCATCGTAGACCTGTCATCGTACATGTTTAATC